GTTGAGATGAAGCAGCTCTTTACCAGCTATGGCATTATGGTGATGTTAATAATGATAAAAGAGTCCGCATGTTTTATCTCTTTGTAACGTGTGTAATATCTGTTAGAATTTATTTAGATTTAATTAGATATTAATTTATATTTAGAAATATCTTTTAGATTGTTTATATATTTGTTAGAAGATATAAATATTAGATCTTCTTATATCTTTGTAGAAAATATATTTTAGATTTAATTTGTGTGTATAAATAGCCTAGTGGAGTAGGTTATTGTAATTCATTGTAAATCCTTATTTTTGAAGCTATCAGTAAATATTCCTTTTGTCTTTTATCTTTCTTGTGCTCCAACAATTGGTATCTAGAGCTTCGGTTCGAAATCCACGGGAAAAGAAGTATTGTGATTAAGAATTACAATATTCTGATTCTGGGAGTTTTGAGAAAACATTGATTTGGGAAATTCTGCGTAAATTGCATAAGGTAGAAGATGAACGAAAGTGATGGCGATATGCATTCTAAGCTTCCAGTATTTGATGGAAAAAACTGGAATCGTTGGAAGATCCAGATGCGCGTGTTATTTGGCTCTCAAGATGTGTTAGAACTTGTTACTGATGGTTATAATCTGTTAGAAGCAGATGCAATAGAGGACCAGAAGATATCACAGAAGGCGCTGAGGAAGAAAGACCAGAAAGCGTTGTTCTACATCCATCAATGTGTGGAAGTGAATGTGTTTGAGAAGATTGCTAATTCTGAAACAACAAAGGCTGCGTGGGACACACTGGTCAGATGTTACGATGGTGACGCATCAGTGAAGAAGGTGAAAGCGAGAAGGTTTCTGAATACATCTCTAGAGTGATTCTGATCACTAATAAGATGAAAGCTTGTGGAGAAACTCTGTCTGAACAAGTAATTATTGAGAAGATCTTGAGATCTTTAACTTCTCAGTTTGATTACATTGTTGTAGCAATTGAACATTCCAAAGATCTGAGCACCATGAGAGTTGAAGATCTGCAAAGTAGTCTAGAGGCGCATGAGTTGCATATGACTGCAAGAACTTCTGAGAGGGAAGTAGAGCAACAGGCTCAGAAGGTAACTTCTGGTAAGAAGCATCAGAAGCTAACTTGGTCAGAAGCCAGGAAGAAAACTAATGGTGGTCAAAGGTCAGAAGCTTCAAACTCTGATAGGCAGAAGAATGTCCAGAGGGGAAATGAGAAGTCTGACAAGAAGAATGTTCAGTGTTACTGTTGTAGGAACTTTGACCACTATGCCAAATATTGTTGGTCAAACAAAGAAAGGAAGTCAGAAGAAGTAAATGTAGCCAGAGGAGATTCAGATGATGAACCTGTGCTATTTATAGCCTATGAATTTGATGAGGAACCGGTGAAATTGTCATTTTCTAATTCTGAAGGGGAAGAAAAATATGACTCTGAATATTCTGATTCTGAAGGAGTGATTTTGTATGAGTCAGAATCAGAATATGACTCTGAGTTAGAATCAGATGACAACTTTGAAGATTTTGAAGATGAGTCAGAATCTGAGGTTTCTGAAGACGAGTTAGAGTTAGAAGATGACTCTGAAGCTGAAGAAAAGTCAGAATCTGAAGATAATTCTGAGTCTGAAGAAGATTCTGCTTCTGAAGAAGAGTCAAAAGATGATGACTCTGGAAACTCTGAAGGTGAGTCAGATGGTGAATCTGATTCTGATCTAGATTTTGATGATGATTCAGAATTTGGTGGTGATCATGCTTCTAGAAGGGAAAACTCTAAAGACGTAGGTTCTAGAGGACAAACTTCTAAAGATGATCATGTTTCTGGTAGAAATCATGATTCTGAAAGTGGAACTTCTGAAGGAGGAGCTTCTGAAGGAAATTCAGCCTTTGACGATGATCATGATTCTGAAAGTGGAACTTCTGAAGGCAAAGGTGATCCAACTTTTGAAGATGGTATTTCTGAAGGTAGTGGCTCTGACTTTGATGATGATTCAGACCCTGGGAATTTTTAAGACTATGAAGATAGTCAAGGTTCTGGAGAAAGTCAAAACTCTGAAGCAAGATCTTTTGAAGTTCTGGTGTCCAAGGTTCTGAAGATCCAGTTCCGAGGCAACAAAGAGTTAGAAGTATCTCAAGAAGATTTGCAGAGTTTTTTATGTTGCAAGACACTGAAGTAGACTCTGAAGGAGAAGTTATTTAGTGTGCAATGTTAGTAGACTATGAACCCGTGAGCACGAAAGAGGCTCTTAAGCAGCAAGTTTGGTTACATGCCATGAAAGAAGAACTTGATGCTATAGAGAGAAATAAGACTTGGAAGCTGACAGAACTTCCAAAAGGAAAGAAAGCCATCAGCGTCGGATGGTTTCTCAAGAAGAAGCTAAAGCCAGATGGATCAATTGGAAAACACAAAGAAATATTAGTAGCAAGAGGCTTTCTACAAAAGCCTGGGCTGGATTACTTTGAAGTGTTTGCATCTGTAGCGAGACATGAAACAATCAGACTAGTGATTGCAATAGCTGCTAACAGGAATTGGCCTCTGATGTATTTAGATGTAAAATATGCATTTTTGAATGGTCCATTACAAGAAGAGGTGTATGTCTTACAACCTCCTGGATTTGAGAAAAAAATCAGGAAGGGATGGTGTTCAAATTATACAAAGCTTTGTATGGATTGAAGCAAGCGCCCAGAGCTTGGAATTTGAAAATTGATTCATTTTTTAAGGAACAAGGGTTTCAGAAATGTGAGATGGAGTATGGTGTTTATGTTCAGCATACTTCAGAAGGTAATATGATTATGATTTGTTTGTACGTTGATGACATATTACTCACAGGAAGTTCTGAACAAGAGATAGTTGAGTTTAAGAAAGTTCTGATGAATGCATTTGAGATGATAGATCTTGGAAAAATGAGTTTCTTTCTAGGGGATAAAATTTATGTACTCTGAGAAAGGAATCATTTTACATCAGATGAAGTATGAACTAGAGCTTCTGAAGAGATTTGAGCTAGAAAATTGCAAGGTTGCTATCACACCTACTGATACGAATCAGAAGTTGGATTATGATTCTGATGGATAGGATGTGGATGCTACAACCTTCAAACAGATGGTTGGTTCTCTAAGGTATTTGTGTAATACCAGACCTGATATTTGCTATGCACTTGGAATGGTTAGCAGATTTATGAGCAAACCAAAATGGTCGCATTACCAAGCCGCAGTCAGGATTCTGAGGTATGTGAAGGGAACTCTGAAATATGGAGTGTTATTTCTGTCTGGAAGAAAGATCGAATCAGAACTTCTGAGTTATTCTGATTCTGATTGGTGCGGAGATAGAGTTGACAAAAGAAGTACTTCTGGGTACTTGTTCAAATTTCTGGGAGGTCCTATTTCTTGGTGTTCCAAGAAGCAACCTGTTGTTGCTCTGTCAACCTGTGTAGCTGAATATATTACAGGTGCTCTGACTGCATGTCAAGCTGTGTGGATTCTGAACTTGCTGAAAAATCTGAAGATTGAGGTAAATAAACCTCTAAAGCTGATGATTGATAACAAGTCTGCAATCAATCTTGCCAAGAATCCAGTGTTGCATGGGAGAAACAAGCATATTGAGACCAAATATCATTTTCTGAGGAATCAAGTTCAGAATAGAATAATAGAGGTTGTGCACTGTAGCACCCAGAAGCAGCTGACAGATGTTCTGACAAAGGCTATCAAAACTGATCAATTTCTTAGATTAAGGGATGAAATTGGCGTTGTCAGTTTTGGGTAAATATAAATTAAGGGATGATGTTATAATTTATTTAGATATTAATTTATATTTAGAAATATCTTTTAGATTGTTTATATCTTTGTTAGAAGATATAAATCTTAGATCTTCTTATATCTTTGTAGAAGATATATTTTAAATTTAATTTATGTGTATAAATAGCCTAGTGGAGTAGGTTATTATAATTCATTGTAAATCCTTATTTTTGAAGCTATCAGTAAATATTATTTTTGTCTTTTATCTTTCGTGTGCTCAAATAATATCCCATTGTGGTGCTAGTTGTTTTTCATTACCACTGCATATTCATTATACTTTTCGTTAGCCTCTAATCCATTTGTACATGAAGCTTAGTTATATCTCTTGGAAATAAAAACAAAAAATGATACAGGTAAGCAATATTCTGTGAAAAGATGCCCACTTCCACTCTCTCTCATTCTCTCTGATTTATTTAGCATGTTACCTTTCCCCTTTAATTAAACATCACTTGTATTAATTATTAACAAATTCCTTTCCCCTTGCGTATGCAACTTTTTTTTTGAACACAAACAGTGCATGGAGCTACTCTTTTGGTTAACCTAACGTGTGTAACATTTACATTACACACGTTACAGAGAGATTAACCATGCGACCGAGGTGTGCCTGTGATGTATCCGTTGATTCTATTTGTTAAGAATACGATCAATTTTTGGTCTAAACTTAACGCATTATATTTGATAGTACCTTCTTATATTAAACTTATTAATGAAAATAATTAAGTTTGATTTTGTCAAATAAAAAAACAACATATTAATTTTAGCCAAAGTAATATGTAGTATTAAATTAATAACTAGTATTTTTAATCAAGTTGTATGTTGACAAAAAGTAAAACCTTAAATTATTACAGAGAGACATTAGAACACTTATCACTTCCCCACTTTGCCCTTTGAACTATATCGTTAGGTACTTTCCGTTTCTCTCATAAAATTGCTCCAATTTTCAACACAAAAAACACCGAAAGTCCAAAGGTCAATGCTGTATCTTTATTTAATCTAACTTTTCTTTTCTCTATTTATTTTCTTTTCACTCAAGTCACGAATCACAAAATTCACACACTTCTTCGGTATTTTACTCTCTAATTCTTCAATTCTCTTTTCACTTTGTCTTTTGAATTACTCAGGTTGTTGCTCTTATGATCTTATCACACACCTATTAGAGCTATTGTGTTCATAATTTTTTGTTTTATTTTTTATTGTGATGTTTTTGTTTACAGAATTCAGAAAATGGTTTTTGGTGTAGCAAAGATGATGAATACTCGTAGTGAAGAAATTGTAACAAAATTATCAGTTGATGATGAAAAACAAGAGGAGGAAAACAATTCGTGCATTTCTTCGATTGGAACATCGATCGGGTGCTCGAGGAAGAAGCTTCTTGTGCTTGATATTAATGGACTTCTTGCTGACATTGTTTCTCCACCTCCAAAGAATGTTAAACAAGATACAACCATTTCGAGAAAAGCAGGTAAGAAATAAAATTATTATAAGTATTATGTATTATGTTATACGATATCCATATGAGAAAATTAACTAATTGAATGTGATCACATACGTCTGTGTTGTGTTGGAACCAGACATATCTTTAATTCAAAGTATTGGTCTCAAATGTGTTTTTAATGACGTGACAAGTACAATTGAATGTAATTACATGTGTTTTTTGTCTGGGTCGTGTTGGAACCAGACACATTACTATTGAGTGACAGTACAATGGTTCTCTGACACAATGATGGTGTATATGAACTGAATCTATGATGAACTAATTTAGTTTTTAATGATTGGATTGATTTTTCAGTATTCAAGAGACCTTATTATCTTGAGTTTTTGAACTTCTGCTTTGAGAGATTTGATGTGGCTGTGTGGTCTTCAAGATTGAAGTATTCTTCTTCAACTTAATTCTTCTGTTCTATAAAATGTCATTGAATTAATTATTTGTCACTTATTGACAAATGTTTTTCGATAATTTTGCAGAAAATATGTTGACAGGGTTGTTGATTATTTGATGGGAGACATGAAACAAAGATTGATTTTCTGTTGGGTAAGTACTAAGCATTTCTTCATCTATTTTATAAGTTTAACTATAGCTTGTAAGTTTTAAAAAGCCGAATATTACGGCGAAAACGGCTGCGCGAAAAGGTATTATAAGATGGTAATATTGTTATTCACCATTTTAATGATGAGAAAAAAATTGATAACAAAAAGTTGTTACGACCGTCAAAATGCTGTTACGGACATGAAAGACCGTTACAGCACCGTTACGGACACAAAATTTTCGGAATATGTAATAACAAATCATAAAAGATATTTCTTTATAAATATTGTAATTAATTCATACCGCGACGATCACAATCATTAATGCATGACCTGTATACCGACCGAAATCGTGAAAGTCTTTAGACAACCGTAACTATCGTCTAAATCGTAAAAGCCTTTATACGAATGCGGCCGTTACTGTTATTTAAAACCTTTGAGATATATCTGCATTAATATTTACATTGGTTTACATTCATCTCATTCTACATGTTGTGCTTCTTGACAGGATTTGTCACATTGTACTGAAACAAGTTTCAGAACACTTGAAAACAGACACAAACCACTTGTTTTTAAGGATTTAAGGAAAATTTGGGACAACTATGATCCTAATCTTCCTTGGGATAAGGGATATTACAATGAATCAAACACATTGCTTTTGGATGATTCTCCCTACAAGGCATTGCTTAATCCGGTAAATAAACCGACTTTTTTTTCGCATTTCTGTTGTCTCACTTTTTCATTCTTATCTTGAACTAACTTAGGTTTAATGTTTTTGATTAATTGTTATAGCCATACAATTCAATCTTTCCTCATACATACAGTTATGAGAATCAGAATGACATTTCACTAGGTATGCTACAAAATGACTTATATATTTATATAGTTAGATTGTTTTTTCTTTGGCTCGATTTTATCGGTTTTAGTAGCAATAAACACCCGCGAGAAGTGCTTAATTATGTTGTTTATCCGACACGTGCCTGAATGGTGAACTCATTTTTGTCAGCTGCCGGAGGTAGTCTACGACGATATCTGGATGGAGTAGCAAATGCAGAAAATATGGTTAAGTATGTAGAACAGCATCCATTTGGTCAAGAACGTCTTAATGAAAGAAGTGATTCTTGGAATTTCTACCTCAATGTTATGAATAGTCTTACAGTTTGTGGAAATGAAAAGTGAAAATATAGTTTCTTTCAATTGAATTTTGATCAATTTAGTTAGTCTACTAGGCTAAACTGTCATAGAACTGTTAATCTTTTATCTTTTTGGACTCAATGAACAAGAAATTTTGGAAAAATATATTGTTGGTATGGATTTTGTAGAAGAATGAAATTGCTGGATTGATTGTGATTAGTGCAACATAAGATTGGCTAGATAAGTTTCTTTAATTTAATTATTTAACTATTTATATTTTTTTAAATAATAAAACTTAACATTTACACTGTTTGTTTTTAAGTGATTTACATGTGAGAGAAGTATAAGAGAGAGAGTAATTTTTATATATAAAATTGTTAAATCACTTAATAATTTTGGAGCCAAAATTGTAAACATTTAATCATTTAATTATTTACTTTTTCTTTTTTAAATAATAAAACTTAACAATTACGGTGTGCTCGGTAGATGGAAGAAATATGAACTAGTGATAAAATTTAGTGGGTCTCATGCTTTTTTTTTTCCTAGAAGAAATGCAACGGTAACCATTATTTTATATATATATATATATATATATATATATATATATATATATATATATATATATATATAAAAGTATACCCTTTATTTCATTATGAGTGAATTAACGGTTACAATTAATTATATTTCATACAAATATATATTTTTAATGTATAATAATAATAATAATTAAATAATAAAAAATTAAATTATAAAATTAAATTAGTTTATAAAATAAATTTTATTAGTGTATATTAATAATTTACTCATTAAAATTTATAATTAAAATTTAATAATAACAATTTTACAAATAAATCAATTTAAAGGAATTTTTCTTTTCAAAAAATAGTATACTTTTTTCTTTTTTATTTCTTTTTCTTTTATAACACATAATACAACAAATATTCTATTTTTCACAATATTCTATTTTTTACATCTTTCTCTCTTTACAACTTCTCCTCATCCACACAAAGCCTTAGTAATAAACACCTATTTTTATTTAATTTGATTTTATCTAAAAACAATTACCTATTATTTGTTTTATTTAATTATTTTATTTTATTTTATATAAAATTTCATTTAAATTCAATAATAGCAACTTATTAATATTTGATATTAATCACCTACTAACAAGCTTCTTATATATAAAAGGTGTTGCAAATTAAATTTTATTAAAAAATAAAACTTATTTTCAAATATTATTCAATGTTCTATCCAATATTCAATTACTTAATAATAAATTATTTTAAAATTTTATCATAATATCATATGATTAACCCGTGCAATGCCTGGAGCAATTAATATTATATAAAATATTTAAAAAAATGTATAACAATATTTCAATTTTGCTCTTTTATTATTTGGATATAAGATTGATAAAGATATTTTAGTTTGAACTCAACCACCGAAAACATTTTGATAAATAAAATTCGTATGTAAAAGTGCATATAGATATGAAAGGAAAATATTATTTTAATTGTAGTTTTAAGTGAAATATAGCCGTTATTTATATTATCGCAACTCTATGTGTCCTAAGTGAATTTTTAATCAAATTTATTTAAAGTTTTTAAAATATTTAGAATCGTGTCATTTAAATAGAATTGTATTAAATAGAATTGTGTCACTATTATCAAGTAGGTATTACATGTTAGGGCAAAACAGAGGGAATTTTCTATCTTATTATGTTGCAAAAGAGTGGCTATATAATATAGTCTTACAAGAGATAAAATTAATTAAAATAAAATGACCTAATTAACTAAATGTAAATAGTGGAATGACTAATTCAATCCAGCTATAACAGCAGCTAATTAAAACATGTTTAACATTCTCTCCCTTAAATTATTTGTACTATTGCAATTAGTTTATCTATTAGGCATAAAAACCATTGAATTGACTTGACTCGCACATATCAAAATAAAAATTGCCACCGAGCTTTATTGTTTTTAAAGGAATGAGAAAAAAGAGAATAACCCAAAAAGAGAGGGGGGGAGAGAATCTATGTACGAGAGTTGGTTATGCAAAGGGAAGATATTAACACCCTAAACATCTACGGTACTCCGCAAAAACCTCTTTGAAAATTTGTGTATTTTGACTATAACTGTTGTATAAAAATAGATTGTAGGGGTGAGGAAAAAAATATTTTTTTTATATAATTTTCGCACCCGCCGCGGTTACGAACCTTTAGTGCCTACGTACCATCTACCGTGTAAAAGGGGATCAGGGTACTCGTAGTTCACCTTTAAAAATTTTAAAATACAAGTGTGTTGGTTAATTTTAAGAGACGAGACATCATCGTCTTATCCGAGTGGAAGAACATACTTACTACCCACAATTATGAGAAAGAAAAATTTGCATCATCTCAAAGTGGAGAATATAGCTTGGATTTTAAAATCAACAAAGCTTCACTCAACACCCAAGTGAAAAATATCTCACTTCACTATATATTGTAGAAGTATAGTAGCTTGCATCACTACAAAGATTGACAAGAGCCTAATCTTTTGAGAAAATTTTTAAAGTAAAAAGTCAAAGTGACAAAATAGCTTGAATGAGATTGATTGACTTTTAGTCTTCTCACAAAAATGTCAGAGTATTATTAAGTTGTTTAAAGTTTGATTAAGAAAATATTTTGAAAAAGTATGGACCTAAGTCCAAGTTTATTGTGAAAGCGGTTCGAGTTTAAAATAAGAAGAGTTTTCAAAAGGAGAGAGGAGATTTTTTGAAATTAAAGATGATGAGAGGAGATGAAGGGACTATCCTAGAGCATAAGGTAAAAGTTAGAAAAAGAACCATCTAACCAACAAGAAGCTAACACTTCACACAATGAGTCAATATAGAATTCTCATCATTTGGATTGAAACCAAACAAACAAAGATAATAAACCTCTTAAGAAAACCAAACTTCAATTGCATTAAGTCTTCACAAAAATTAGGCAGAGTAGCAGTTGTATACGAATGAATTCCCAATCACTGACGAAGCATGTAATAAGAATAACCTGCTGAAATTCTGGCTGCAGATACTCAATGTCACGTTCAATGTTATGACACCGTATCTGACTTACTATATGACAGTAAATACAAAAGCAATAAATAACACAATCAATTGTTTACCCAGTTCAGTGTGCAACAACACCTACTCTGGGGGCTACCAAGCCAGGGAGGAAATCCACTATAAGAGATGTTAATTCAGGAATAAACCAACCAGTTTATCTCCTTCACTTAAGACCTACCCAATGCAATTCCAATCTAAGTACAACTTAAACCTGAGTTCCTACTCACTCCCCCTCAATCACAGCAGTGATACATAAACAATTTGACTTAAGAATTGATGAAGACACTCTTCAAAAACACACACTTGATTAAGCTTCACAACTTTTTAATCAAGCAACACAATCACTCGTGCTTCACAGCTTTGAGTGATGCACACAACTAACTTGACTCTGCTTCACAACTTTAGTCAAGGAACATTCAAACACTCTTGCTTCAAAGCTTTGAGTGCTACACAGCCCTTACAATTTGAAACCTATTCCAAGTCACTTATCACAATGATAATTGCTTGGAGTACAATAATCAAATCTATACAGATTACAAATGATCTTCTGATCAATAAAAAGGGATGCGTTTCAAAAATAGCAGCTCTGTTGAATATATAGCAGCTGCAACTTCAGTTAGGGTTTCCACAAAAACCTAGGGTTAATTCCGTTTGACCTAAAGACCAGGTCATTGGACTTTATTAACCAGGTTAGGGTTGAGCCAGGTTACTCCTCAGAAAACGCAGGATTCTGTTCAGAAAAGACTGAGTTATTTTCCTGAAAAAACTCAGACTTATCCAACCTGCAAACCTGTTAGTTCAGAACAGGATGTCATAACATCTGTTATGACATCTGAGAAAACCTGTCTACTGATTTAGCAAAATGTGATCATTTTGCAAAATGCTCAGATACACACTTATAAACATCAGTACTTGAATTACAATATTTTTCTGCAAAGGTACCTAATGAGTCAGTACAAACTAAACTAGAATGTTATGACATCAGTCATGACATTCACACTTGGGATTTACCAAAAAAGCAAGCCAATACCTAAACACCTACACCTGCATACAAAGAAAACAAGCAACCCAATATCTTGGGATAAATCCCAAGAACTCCAGACAAAACAACAATAGAAATCATAATGTCTCAAGGTAGGTCAAAGTCTCTAATCCCAAGTCCAAGAAGTCCATCACTCCATAATGTCAAGGATAGTAACCAAATAGTCCAAGTAACATTAAAGTTTTTTTATTATTAAAGTTGATTATTAGGTATCTTCAAAAAGAAATGAAAAGCTCAAGTGAGTAAAATAAAATGACATAAAAGTAAATGCTCAAGTGAGCAAAGATGAAAATAGCATGAAATATAAATACTAAAATAAATGGTGCATAAAGTAAAGACATAAAATAAAGGCATAAGATAAAAGTCAAATGTTAATGAATTAGTAATTAGAAGTTAATTGAATGACCATCTTGAAGCTTGCATTTGAAAACTCATTAGGAGATTGATAAAATCAAAGCCTCTTAACAACGAGTTTTATTTGCTTTTTGTCAAGTATATCATCCATTTCAAAATCTCAAGGCAACAATGATCAATGATGTTTAAGTGATTCACTTTGACCAAAGCTTATGAAGATTCATTAGAGGATTGATAAGACCAAAGCCTCCTAACAATAAATCACAAGATTATTGGATCAAATGTTTCAAATTAACATACTTGGGATTACAAACATAGGTTTGAGCCACAAATGATCATTTCTCGAATCGGGACAAAATTTAGCGCTATGTCAAGCAATTGTAAGTGGGCTTATATAGAAGTCACACCTATTTTGAGGCCGGTCAATAGCAATCTATGTACCATATGTTTAGAGAAATTATATGTAAATCATTCTCCAACAACATGTAGTACAAGCAAGAAGGGGATAAGATGAAGAGGGAGGGGGATAATAATTAAATCACATTTGAACCAAAAATTTAATCAA